CTGGTGCGGACGGATCTCTTCATTGTGCCGGTCCGCCCGATCCGAGATCGCCTCTTGCAGTCGCGCGTTGACTTCTGCCCGTGCCTGCTGATAATAGCGTTGGATCTGGTATCGCCACCGCCGCGGATCCCGATCCTGACGGCGAGTGCTGACTACCGGGATCGTAGCCTCGAGCGTGGATCTAGGATCCCAGCCGTGTACCAAGTAGAATGGCGTCTCTCCTCGGATCCGATCCTGGGCGGTATTGAGTGCGAAGGTGAGACGCTCAGCGTAGTCGACCTAATCGCGCTGATCCAGATCCTGCACGTACATCTTCAGAGCGCGAGTGGCTGTTTGCACCATGCGCTCAGCGGTTCCGTTTGCTTGCGGCATGTACGCCATCGTCGCACGTTGTCGCTGACCAAGGATCTTGTTGAAGGATCTAAAGAAGTCGGCCATGAACCCCGGTTCACGGTCGTGGCGAATCACCTCGCTGGCACCAAACCGTCTGAATACACACTCTTCGTAGGATTCCTCGATCGTCTGCGCTGTCCTGGAGTCGCTGGCCTTCGCGATCACGTATCCAGCGAACAGATCCACCCAGATCAGTAACTCAGTATTACCCTTGTTGGATCTAGGCAGCGACGGTATGTGATCCATCGCTATAATCTGGAACGGGTACGTGGCTTGGATGTTACCGGGCGACTCACCTTGGATCGCAGGTCGCCCTTTGCCGGTCTCACAGTCCACGCATTCTCCGACGTATCGCTGTACACTCCGATATAATCCCCTCCAGTGGAAGCGATCCCGGATCCGCTGGTAGGTGCGGCCGATCCCTTGGTGACCTCTTTCGAGACTGGCATGGTAATGGTGGAGGACATCCTGTTGTAGAGTTTCCGGCAACACCAACCTCATCAACCCATCGCGATCCGCCTCCACCTTCTTCGTAGGAGGACAATAGAACAGTAAGTCGTTGAGGTCCACTTCATAATCCATCGCGATAGCACTGTAGGATCTAGCCTCATCTTGGGTCAGATCCTGCATATCGCCCACTAAGTACTTCTTCAGACCGGAGATCCACGCCTCCTCGTCCTGCGCTTGGCGGATCCTGGCGATCCTGAGATCCCGCACTACTTCCTCTTGCAATACACTCGGGTTGGATCTGGATCTGGCACGTGCTCGGGTTGTCACTGGTGAGACACGTGCGACGGAGACTTCTTCTTCACGCTTCACAACCAGGATCTCATCTAGGCGGTTCAACGTGACTGGATCCTGCAGATCCACCGCTTCCTCCACCATGATACCGGCCTGTCGCAGAAGTGCTGCGCTGGCTAGGCTATCAGCGCTACCGTTCCAGTCGCGCTTGACATGTACCAACTCATGATCTGGCCAGAAGGGTTAATCCCGGTGCCGTGCAGTCGATCTCGCCTCGGCCTTGGCGAGCTACCAAATCGGAGTCTCCACAGATCACCAATCGTCGTCGTGCCTCGTCTTCGAGTAGATCCAAGCATAGAAGGAGTCCATCGTACTCCGCCTCATTAACGGTCAGCCCCTCGGCATAGCCGGATCTAGCCTTCACTACAGTCCATTCCGGTAACTTCCACAGGATCGCGCTGTATGCGCCTCCACCACGTTTGACACGGGCAGATCCATCGAAACTGACCACATGTAGTTCTTCACCAGGCCGGACAGTCGGGATTGGTGCCTGGATCTTGCGTCTTGGCTCCTTCTTGGGCGCAATCTCGATCAAAGCCTGATCCACATTGGATCTAGGTGTAATGCTGCCGCCAGAGTCCCCAGGATCTCATCTTCGCCCTTCGTGCATTTCATAATCTCGAGTGTCCACGGCGAGAGCAGAGCCGCCCACTGTCCCAATCGCCCTTGCAGGCCCGTGGACCTGAACAACCAGGCCAATGTCGAATGTCTAGTCAAGACTCTGATCGGGCGTCCAACCAACATGTTGTAACTCAGATCCAGGATCCGCTACAGAGCCAACACCTCCTTCTCCACCACGCCATAACTGAGTTCGTTGGACTTCAGGTGCGGCTGGTGAACGTCACTGGATAGTGAACCCCGTCGTTTCCTGCATCAGGGCAGCTGAGATCGCCCACTCGCTAGCGTACACGACCACCACCGGCAACGGATCCGAGTCGAAGTGTCGGAGGATCGGAGTCATTGCCATCGTTTCCTTCAATTTGGCAAATGCCCGATGAGCGCGAATCCAACGTGGATCTACACTGTTTGGATCACTCGCCTCCAGATCCAAAGTCTTCCGCTTCCCAGCCTTCGTGGATCCGGAGTCTGTATTCGGTAGGTCGAGAACCGCCGTGTCGGACGAGGTCTGCTCCGTTGGATCTGGAGTCGTCGAAGCCATCACCGCTTGGATCCGGCCTCGATTCTCAGGCTTGCTTTGCTCATCGCGGCGTAGTCCACTTCACGTAATTCGTAGAGAACCGCAGCGTAAATCGCGTAGTCCTCCAGAAACCGACTGTAGTAATTCAAACTACCGAGGAACGACTGCATGGATCTAAGTAGGGTAGATCCGTTAGTGCCGAGAGATCCTTGGGATTCGCCTCTAGTCCAGCATTTGACACGCGATGACCGAGGTACTCCACCTTACTCTTGCCCCAGAAGCTCTTCACCACGCTGATTGAGAGATTGAATCCATACAGCGCGTTGTACAGCATACGTTGATAGATCTGGGGTGCATTCTTCAACCCAAAAGGCATCCGGTTCCACTCGTACAGCCCGAAGGCGTGATGAAGGGGGAGATCGCACGAGCCCGATCCGTCATCGTCACCACCCAGAATCCACTGGCCATATCCAAAGAGCGGTACCAAAGCACCTTGTCCAGATCCTCAAGCAGGTCGTTAATCAGCGGCATCGGGTAGACCATCAGCCGGGTCAAACTGTTTTTCAGCCGGTAATCGATACATAATCGTATGTCTACCCCATTCTTCTTGATGATCACCACAATTGGAGATGCACACGGCGAAGTCTAATCCTTAATGATCTTGGCTCCGAGCAACCCCTTGATTAGATCCGACAGTTTCTCATGGTACTGCGGGGCTACCTTGCGCACCCGCTGAGCAATGGGTTTTGCATCACCCACATCGATGTCACACACAACTCCTCGTGCCGCGGGCGGCAGTGCGTTGCCTTTACCAATCAGCAGGTGCCGGCGCCTCCAGATCCGCCGCCGGAGTAGATCGATTTCTTCCGCCGTATTAACCTCTGAATCTCCCACCTGGATGTCTTCAATAGTCACCTCGTCTGTGTTCGCAGTGACTTCCGGTAGCACCGCCATCTCCGCTTCAACATCTTCCGCGTGCAGATCCCCACTCACGTGGTAGCAGACTTGCTCATCTGCATCAGCGTCACCGCGACTTGGATCTATGGTAGTCGTTGGATCTGCATCGACAGTTGGATCTGGCGTCGGACCTGATTCCTGCGCCGTCTCTCCATCTGGATCTGCGCCTCGTCCCATCTCACCATCTGAAACTTGAAGCTCCACTGGATCCATGGCCTGTCCCATATCACCATCTGTTGAATCTGCAGATCCGCCCCCTGTCTCTCCGTGATTACCACCCGATGTGACAACGGGATCGACCGACCGTCTCACATCATCTGGACTCAACGCCCCCTTGCGACCTTGCGTGTCATCAGTTGGATCTTGGCTCGTTGATCCATCGGCGGGTCTCAGCGCGTCATCGACACTTCGATCGGCAGTTGGATCTGGATCCGGCTGGCGCTCAGCAGGAACTCCGCCTGGATCCGGTTTGGACCAAATGACTGACACTGGATCTTGGGCTTCCCCCATCCAGGCAGTAGCTGTGTGCGGTTGCTCCTGTCGAATCGACCCATTGTCCTGCGTCACCGTGGGATATGGCCTCGACGGAGGTCCGATCGTCGGCTCGTCCCGTCCACATCCAAGATCCGTGGATCTGACCTGGGGTGATGGGCTCTGGATCTGCACCTCTTCCCACGTGTCAGTTTTCATGCACTGACGTTACGCGAACGGTTGACTGCGAGGTTCACCGACTCCCAGGGACTCCTCGTCACTTGGATCTTGATCCGGCGAATCTTCGGCCTGCGGATCTCCTCCGGGTACTTGTCCGCTCGTCTCCTCCGGTCGCTGATCTCGTGTACGCGCCTTGATTGAAGCTTGGAGCTGCAACACCTCCGCCGCCCCGGCGATGTTTTCGTCGATCGCCTGACCGGGCGGATCCGGCAGCGACTTGCCCCGTCCACCCCCGGCGCTCTTGGATCTTGGTTCCTCCTGTCTGACTTGAGCTGGATCCTGCCTCCACAGTATTGCATGCGGCGTCGGGTACTCAGGACGCTCCACCATCGGTCCCTCCGGGGTCTCGGGCGGTCCCGCCTCCGCGGATCCAGCGTTCGTCGTGGCCTGCAGCGCGAGGTTCCGCCACTCCATGTAGCGGCGGGATCCGACGGACACGTAGCCTTCGATCCGCGGGACTCGATCTCCGGCCAGCCATATCCCTACTTGGTGGTTCTGGCGCAACACCAGTTCTTTCTCTCCGATATTCGTGATCTGAAGGTACTGCACTTTGTCTGGGCCCTTGATCACCGTTGGTACCCAACGATCCCTCGAGTAACCCACAGCTTGTCGTGTTCCGATCCTCGCAGGCGCATGGGCAACTCTGCGGACTCTCCGATCCCAAGCTGGAGATAGCGATCCAACTTTACCGACTGCGCTTTGTCACTGCAGAGTGAACGGCGTCCGCTGAGCTGAATCCGGACTTCGTCAGGCAGGCAGAGAGTCCCATCAGCTAGATCCAGTCGGATCCCGGCTGGGACCATGTAGTCCATACCGAGGATCGTTTCTTGGCCAGACAGATCTCCTACCCAAATGTCGAAGAAATACACCAGGTATCCACCCAAGGTGATCTTGATCCGCGCTCTCCCTTCCGTCGTATACACGTTGTCTCTGATCCCAACGCATTCTTGGCTCTGACTCCTGTCGATGTAGCACCCAACCTTACGAGCAAAGGCGGTGTCCACGATGGACAACTCGGCACCGGTATCTAGGAGTAAGATAGCCTTATCATTGTTGATCTTGTCGTGGATCTTGGCCTGACGGAACCACTTGCCTGGCGAATGTTGCTTCCAGTACCCTCGAGATTCTCCAGGTAGGAGATACGAGGACTCTGGATCTACGATCCGCCGGCTTGCAGCGTCAGGTCGGGATCTGGATCCCAAGGTGTCTTCGCCTTCCGCTGTTTGAACCACGGCTCTGGATCCTGCTGCTTCCAATAGCCTTGACGAGCTTCTGGATCCAGGTCTACTCCCACTGTCACATCGGATCTGTAGTAGTCGTCGGTTTGCCGAAGACTTGAGATCACAGCAGTACGTTTCCCATGAAGATCACATGTAATACCGCGTAGATCCTGTCGTTTGCTAACTGGATCGGTAGATGTCTTGTTCACAAATGCATAGATGCAATACCTAGAACGCTCGGCTCGTACCGGATTCCAACCCGGCGAGCGTCCTAGTTTAATATCCTTTCCGCCATTTCTGGCAGCATCTCCGTATGCTTGGCTGGATTGAACCACGGACGGATCTGGTTGTAAAACTCTTCCATCGGGCACCGGCCCACGTCATGGAGATCACCACACCCACGGCACACGAAGAGGCAATGGTCACCTGGATGACCCTTCTTGCCGCACTTCTCACACGTCAACCGCTTTCAGCAGCCGAGATGTGAGTGCATCTTGGATCCGCAGTGCGTACAGCGGCTTCGCTCGGATCCGTCAGCGTGGATCTTGGATCTCTGATCGCGGGAGGTTGGATCTTGCTGCTGCCGGTCTAGAGGGTTCCGTTCCAGGGCTTTCGGCTCTTCCTCGACTGGTTTCGCATGGTCGTAGGAGGCAGACAAATAGATCCTGCGGTATTCGTCGCACTCGGAGTCCGATCCATCGCTGGATTCAGACTCGGATCCCGAATCAGGTTCGATTTGGATCGCACGCACATGTTTGGCTGGAGCGGCCGGCGCAGGCGTCGCTGGTGCTTTTTGTCGGTACTTGCTGGATCCATACGCGGACTTCTTCTGTCGGTTCCTCGCCCGATCCAAGGCACGCAGGACTTCTTCCAACTCGTCAGCATCCGGCAGTCGGAGCAATGTCAGCCGATCCGCCAGATCCTGATCGCCCAGAGTCTCAATGGAATGGTCCACATGCTCGCGCCTCTTCTTGGATCCACCGTCTTTGATCTTGAGTCGATCGCGGAGTCCGGCGACGTTAAGTCGGTAGAGATAATTCAGCGGAGACTCGTCCGATCGCTTGCGAGCATGATAATACTGGCGGGCGACGGAGATCCCCAGTCCACAGTATTGGGTCTGAAAGCTGCGAAGGAGATCCGGCCACTTATTGCGTGTGGATCGAGGTAGTTGGCGGTACCAGTTCCGCGCCGATCCAGACAGCAGATCCGCAAAGGTCAAGCACTTCTCTTCGTCAGGTGCTTGATCGCGGAGGAACGCAGACTTCACCTTACTGACCCAAGCTCTCGCTCGATCCTCGTCTTGGTCCTTGTCAGAGAACTCCTTCAGATCCGAGACCGCCGAGATCCGGACTCGTTGGATCAAGGCTGAACCTGTGGATCCGGTCGCGGTGGTGGCTACTGTAGCGCGTGCTGGGGCCGGGAAGTCAATGTCGTCAGGGTCGAACTCCCAGTGTGGATCCGGATCCGACGATCCAGTGGACTCCATCTCGACATCTTGGGATCCGTGATTCTGAACCGCCCCCGGTGTCATGGCTGGGGTCAAAGCTCCCTGCTCCTTCAAGAACCTGTTCATAGCTGCCTGGAAGAACGACTCCAACCTACTAGTCGATATGTCGGATCCTGATGCCGTCGCTGTTGGATCCACTAATGGAGCTGACTGCTTCTTGGGTCGAGGCTGGGATCGGGACTGAGGACTCGCTTCACGTTGGATCTGGGCTCGGGCGCGTAGCATCGAGGCTCCCGATGGTCCAAGTGACATGCGTCGCGGCTCCGAAGACGTGTCCGACCCAAGCTCTGCAGCCGACACATAAGGTGACGACGTCCGGCATCCTGTGGATCCTTCTTGTAGTGATCTTGGATCCGGGATTGCGGGATCCGGCTTCGGCTGGATCTCGCCTACCAGCACCTTCAGTCGGTTGAACAGCATCTTCGTCGTGGCACGGAGTTGGATTGGATCGATCTCGTACATCACTGACGCGTCGAACGCTCCAGCCACGAGACCGGCATCCCTCAGCAGCTGCATCAGGCGCTCCATCTCGGGCAAGGTTCTTGGACGCTTAACGGCTACCGGAAGTGTCAGGTGTTCCTGCAGGGCTCCGATCTGCTTCACACCGAACTTCTGCATAATTGGATCCACTGTCAGAAAGCTGCGTAGTTGCTTCTCGTGATGACGGATCCATGATGGCTCGTTGTTTTGTTAGTGGTTCTTGACTTTCGTCGCGATCCACCGGGGTCCCCGAAGGAACCTGCGGAGGAGGTTGAGGTTTCTCTTCTGGATCCATGTCTGGATCCACCTCGGTTCCGCCGACAGAGATCCTCCTTGCACTCTGCCGATCCGTGGATCTTGTTTCATTCAGCAGCGTCGTCGTCGATCCCGATTCCGAAGACGCTTGATCCCCTTGTTCCTTCTTCACTCGAACTTCTTCTTGCGACTCACGGTGAAATCCCGAGCCACCAGAAGATCCGGGCACGCGCACCATTGTGGTGTAGCGGGATCAGCAAAATCTGCGAGATTGCCAATCCAACTTCCCAACTACCGACTTACGGAGGGGGTCCCCCGATGATCCGTGATCTGTGTGTTGAACTTGGTCACCTTGTGTACCCGTCGGCAGGGCTGGATCTTGCTCCTCTGGCGTCTTCCGAAGCGTCCGAGCCTTGAAGAGAGAACACTCTAGGCGAGACGCGGGGATGTCGGTGGAGCAGCGCGCAAATCTTCACTCTGCTCGCGGTAGTATTCCAAATCTAGTAGTCTTGTACTCAGATCTGGCGGCCTGGATCTGAATCCGGCCGGGTTGTTACCTTTCGAGGTTGTTGTCCTGTACGTTGCCTTCGCAGGTCTTCCGTGGTCGTGTTTGCCGCCCCCAATGACGGTGTCGTTGACAGTTGAGACGAGAAGGACGCACCGGCCAAACAGATAACTCCGGTGGATCTTGGATCTGCACTTGCAGGTAGTTTACTAGGAAGGTCTTGGATCTGGCCAATATATTACTCCAGTCTTACAACCAACACTAGGTCTGCTACCGCTAACCTCTCTACGCCGTGTAGGGCCAATGTCGTTCCCGTTTCCAGGCGAAGGAGGAGGCGCTTGCGATGTACAAGGCAAATTCTGGTCTGATTTATGCTTAAGTTCGCTCCTATCCCAAAGTTGTATCGCCATGTGGCTCCTATCATCCGATCTGTACCTACCGACTCTATGGACTCCCTTTACCTTCATTGCGTGTCAGTTGCGTGCCCGTCGAGTCGTGTCCACAACTTCCTGATTACGCCTGAATCCAGAGGATCTGGATCTCT